AGTTGGGGGTGGTTCGATAAATTTAAGATAAGAAGTGTTTGTTTATAGATTAAACAGTACATTAGACATGTATTGTATATAAGTAAGGTTAAAACGGAATCATTTGGGGGTCTGGAATGGATTAATTCAATTTACATTATTTCTAATGGGGAAAAAATGATTCGGTTTTCAAACAAACCACTTCTCCAACAGTCTTCCGGAACAAATTAAGTTCAAGAACCAAGGTTCCACAGTATATATAGGGTGTCCCCCAAAAATGTATACACACACTTTGAATAATTATAAATGCAGTGTTTATTAATATACATTTCATTTTCAAAAGTGAGCTATCAGCTGTTAAAATGTGTATACATTTTTTTGGTTCACCCTATTTGATCAGAATATGCAAAGACTATAGATGAGCATTCATTTTCTAGAACCATACATTTCATGACAATGGTGCTCTTTATATAGTCATAACTTCTGGGTTTATAATTTGAAATATTCTAATTAACAAAAATTGTGGGGGAACCTCTATCATCAAAACTGAGGGATCTTTCTACAAAGATATTTAACAAGGTGATGAGAACTTTTAAAAAAATGTTTTTATTGAATTTTTAGATAGAGATGAAGGGAAAGGAATAAATAGAAACATCGATGAGAGACAAACATAGATAGGCTGCCTTCTGCATACCCACTACTGAGAATTGAGCCCAAAACTTGGGCATGTGCCCCGACAGGGAATCAAACCTTCGACCTCTTGGTGCATGGAGCTATGCTCAACCAAGTCACACCAGCTGGGCAGTGATGAGAACTTTTAAAAATATTTTTTAACAATCTACTCTATTCTGTAATTCAGACTATTTCATGAATACATACTTTTTCACTTTATACCCTTCTGTGCTTCTGAACTTCTTTAAAATGAACTGTGTGACAATTTCAGAAAAGGAACCCTGAGGAAGTGAACAATACTATTTAGTGGACACATAAATTGTCATAACTTTTTTCAGGCAATTTGGTGACATGTATCATAAATCTAAAAAATATATAAATTTTTTGACCTGGCAATTCCACTTCTGGGAATATTTGTCTACAGAAAACATATATGGAATTTGAAAAATTACTGTACACTCCAAACTTAAGACCTAAGAAATTCTATCCGCTGTGCCTGAAAGGCAAACCATCTCCGAGCTATATAATTGGGAGATGTTTCTCATTCTAAGTCCCTCCAGACAGAACAATGCTAAAATTCAGAAATGGCTTCTGAACAGAAATCAAATCCAGGGCAGTGTCAAGAAGTAAAGACGGCCATGGCTATAAACCCTTTGTTAAGATCTTAGAAAGATTTAAATTAGTACCTCAAAGAGCCTTTCAAACAAGCAACTGGACTTGTAAGAAACTTAAGAGTGTGGTCCACCGCCTCTCAAGAACTCATGTAGAACAGGACCTTAGTTCCCAAACTGTGCCCTAAGGCTTCCTGGAGCACAACAGGGAATACTGTGTCCGTCACTGACCTCGTGAATACTAACTCAAGATAATACACGCTTTTAACATTACACTACGGCATTCCTTTAGATGATATATACATGTGAAGGTGATTTTCTGGCAATTGCTGTGATAAAAGGCAAGTACTCTTAAAAAATCAATGCAGCACAGGAAATAAGAGTGGTGGTATCCAATTTTTTTATTTTTTATTTATTTTAGAGAGAGAGGAAGGGGGAGACAGAGAAAAATCAATTTGTTATTCCATTTATTTATGCCAGCGGTTCTCAACCTGTGGGTCGTGACCCCTTTGGGGGTCGAATGACCCTTTCACAGGGGTCGCCTAAGACCATCGGAAAACACATATATATATATATAATTACATATTGTTTTTGTGATTAATCACTATGTTCTAATTATGTTCAATTTGTAACAATGAAAATACATCCTGCATATCAGATATTTACATTACGATTCATAACAGTAGCAAAATTTCAGTTATGAAGTAGCAACGAAAATAATTTTATGGTTGGGGGTCACCACAACATGAGGAACTGTATTAAAGGGTCTCGGCATTAGGAAGATTGAGAACCACTGATTTATGCATTCATTGCTTGACTTTTGTATGTGCCCTGGCTTCTTTGAAGACAGGACCACTGATAGCAATTCCAAGATATATCATTTATATCTACACCACACACTATTCTCCACTATTCCCAATTTTGATTTCTTTAAGTAGAAACATGGAGCAAGAAGTTAAAAATGCTTACAAAGCAATCTGAGTGTAGAATTTTCCTAAATGTTTATGCTTCTCTCATTCATATCTAATTGGAAAGCAATTTCAAAAATTACCTTTACTGAATCTTTGCATAGCGTTCAACTCATTTTAACCATTTCTATAATAGTTAATTAAATTACATAACTATAAAAAAAAAAAGCACAATGGGTCATAAACAGGTCAGGAACTAATAAACAACTCACTCTAGATAAGTATTTATATATATATTTGTGTGTGCATTACCTATTTTATATACATATATATGTGTATATGTATGTGTGTGTGTGTATATATTTTGTTTCTAAAAGGAGGAGGATGAGGGACCTGTTAGGTCTGATCAAATCATTAAATCGATACCCCCTCCCCTGGGAACTGACCTTTAGAGCACTTCACAACAGACATTCCCTTTTGCTTAGACCACATTCCACTGGCTAAGACCACATTCCACTTGCTAAGAACATTATCTTTCCCCTCCAGAGCTTCCCAGGGAATTCCCCGCTCAGAAAAAGCCCACCTGGAGTCCTTTAAAATCTCTGACTCCCCACTTCTGGGTGCTAGCACCATTTGGGGGCTCAGCCCATCTGTTCTCCAGATGACCTAATAAATTTATAATGCCTTACCACTTTTGGCCTCGTGTATTCCTTCAGAACCTATTATGGTCACTCACTGAATTAGCTTACTCTCTACCACACAATTACGCTTTACAGAGATATTTTTGATACAATGTGATATAATGTAGAAAATAAGAGATTCCATAAAAGTTCTGAAAATAATAAAAAATTAAATCATTCTGGGAAATAGGAATCTACCTTACCTGTTTATTCTGCTAAGAGAAATCAGTGATGGGGATCTTAAAGTCACATACCTTATTATGTAAATCAATGATGTCATTCATGTAAGACATTATCACTACAATAAAATACTGCCATTTAAAGTACATCGCAAATGCTAAAATATCACTGCACTTATAATTAGTGAAATATAATACTCTTGACAAGCATAAGTAATTGCAATATTTTGAAGACACCAAATAAGCTCAGAGCACTGAAAATTACTAGTCAAAAGAAGTCATATAAAAGTTATTAAAAAACATACTAAAATTCCATGCTAGGTGGAATTTTTAAAATGGAAATTTCATATAAACAAGCCCTTCAGAGACAAGAAGCTACAGTGGGGCCTTGACTTACGAGTTTAATTCGTTCCGAGACCGAGCTCGTTAAGGAGCTCGTTAACTCAAATTACTCTATCAACTCAATGCAAAAAATTGGCCGAGAGACAGCTGGTATCTCAAAAAACTCGTTAGTCGGGACACTCGTAAGTCAAGGCTCCACTGTATTGCAGTTAATACAGAGACATATGTAAGAAAGTGTGGGAAATTCTCAATTAGATTACCTCCCCTTTCCTCTGACTGTATACAGATATTCCCTTCTTATTTAAATATAGAATAATAACAGCATTTCTCAAGTAATTATTAGAGTCTCTATTTACAAACTGATATTTGGCCTCCATTAATTCGCTGATCCCATCTACTCTAATTTAATATTTTTAAAGTTTTTAAATGTAAAAATTCTGCCTGGATGTGAAGAGCTATAATTCAAGTCTGGATCAGAATTATCGTTGACCACCTTCCACTAATCCGTCCACTCCCCCTCACCTGCACTGTCAAAAGTCTCTAAGAGTTTTCACAAGTTTGCTTCAAGTTTGTCTGGACTTTGGAAAATTCATCAGAAGAACAAGGGACAAAATCCACATAGATAAAACAAATTACTGAAGTGATTAAATGATGTAAAGTTTGTAAATTGTATATAATCTATAATAACAACAGTATAATATGCTAATTAGACCAGATATCCTCCGGGACGTCCTTCTGGACAACCTTCCGGATGAAGCCAGGGCTGCAAGAAAAGCCCAGATCCCGGGTGCCTGCCAGCGGCTGGAGGGAAGCTGGTGCCAGCAGCCGGGGGAAGAAAGGCCTATTCTTGCACAAATTTCGTGTTTTGGGCCTCTAGTTATATATAATAATGATTGTTTTGTTTTAAAAAGCTTCACTTTTCAAAAGGCTTCAGCATAGATGTCACACACCCAGCTTCTAAATGCACTTAGGATGATCTGTGTGCAGATATTTAGTTTGCAGTTTTTCTAAAACAGTTTGCATGTCTCTATTTCATAGATAAAAGAGACTTTTACATAAATGCAAATCTATGAATCCATTTTGTTCCTTGAAACACTGGTAATAGTAAATCAGTAAGCATTATCTATTCCTTTTAGATGCTGTGCTAAATCCTGGAAGAAAAATAATGAGCCATACAGGTCCTACTCTAAAGAGGTATCTGCCCAACAGGGAAGATAAATCAAACAAGTGGAAAATTAAGTAAAAAAATTCTTTTTTTAAAAATGTTAATGAAAATAGGAAAAAAAGTAGAGAGATGAAAGTTTTAACAGACTAACTAGTATTCAGATGATTCTCAATATATAGAGACTCAGAAAGGAGAAATGGGATCAGGGACAGGAGGGTTGGGAAAGCTTCACAGAGCCAAGAGTCATTGCTGAGTGGAGAAGGCAGACACAGGTTGACAGGCAAAAAGAGAATGTATTTATCAGTCCCAAACAAAAGTATAGAGGAAGAGGTATTTAGGGGAGAGGAAGCACTCTAATTTGAAGATGGACTAAAGATTTCTAAAAATGTTCTTTTCTAGAAGAAAAAATGTACTGGAGTTTCAGAAATTACTTTCAAAGAACATTCAAACTATAAATCATTTACCTCTTCTTTGGGGCATCTTTTGTAGCTTTTTGAAGTCTGCCAGTTGTAGCTTCCAAACTTTTAAGTGGTCTTCTGTTGGGTGGCTTTGTGGTTTGTACATTTACTGTGCTTATTTCAACTTTCATGTCCTTAAGGATATTTAGCAAGTCTTTTTTCGAATTCTCCTTTACATTGTCTTGGCTCTCTGTCTGCTTGGAAATCTCATGGGTTGGAATGGACTGCCCATCTTTTTTGCTACAGATCGCATTGTTAGTGCCAAAATATCTTTGGATATAATTTCTTGTCCTGGAAAGATTAAAGAAAAAAAGAAAAAAAATACAATGCAAAAATAATCAAGCAAAGACTGAAAAAACTGTTTCTATGTGTTTTTAAATTTTTCAATTCAAGCCCTTCCCTTTTCCTTTTTATTTTTTTAATTGAGGTATAATTGACATATAACATTGTATTAGTTTCAGGTGTACAACATAATGATTCAATATTTGTATATATATTGCAAAATGACGACCATAATTGATCTAGTGTTTTTTATTATTGTTGTTAACAACCATAATGACAGCAAATTTAACTTTTATTAAACATATACTATGTGCCTAGTCTTAGACAACATATTTTTGGTAAATTTTTTCATACCCACATCAACTCCATAAGGTAGATTTTATCCCCATTTTGCAAATAAGCAAACTGGAAATCAGAGAAGCGAAGTAACTTACCCAAGGTCATGAAGCTCAGAGCTCACTAAGGTCTAAGACATACTGGTGGGCCACAAATGGGTTACAGATGTGCTGAGATATTGATCACCTAGGCCTGGGACTGCTGGTGCCTCCTTTCATTCACCTCAGACTTTGATAAAAATATCACTTTCTATGTGCTCCAAGATTTAAAAAAAGGTTGTGAAACACTGGCATGATTAATAAATTTCAATTTATTATTTTTAAACTCAAATCTGACTGACTGCCAAGGCCTTCCTCTTACTTAATATGATATAATAATACCTCTTTAAAAAGTCATAATTAAACAACATTAAAATAAATAAATTTCTATCTAAAAAATGTTACTTTCTATTAAAAAAATTCTGGGTGTTATCTAAGCTGGTTAACTTCCTCATTAAGCTATGTGCCATTTAACCAATCACTATTTGTAAGTGAAGCTAAAATGGAACAGAAAAAAAGAATATTTTGATATTAAAGAACTTTAAAAACTAATGACTGTTTTAGTTTCAGTAATAGAGTATAGTGTATAAAAAGTCACTCATTAAATTGGCAAATATCTACTTTAAACTGAGCACTATACAGTAGTAGGCACTGATGATATATTAGTAACTAAGAATTTATTGTTCCTATCTTGAAGCAAACAGGATAGAGCACTGTTTCTCAAATTTTAAAATGTATAGGAATTACCCTAGATTTGTTAAAACACAGATTCTTTGGTCCCAGCAAAGAATTGTGATTCAGTAGCTTTGGGGAAGGATTTGAAGTTTGCTTTCTAACAAGTTCCCAAGTGATGCTGATGGTGGCGTCAGAGGGCCACATTTGAGTAGCTGTATTATGTATGTTATTGAAATCCTTAAAATCCAAACCATTTTATTATTCCTGCTTTACAGAAGAAACTGCTGCTCAAAGAGGTTAAGTTAATGATTCTTAACCTTTAGAGGTCATATGAATCACCTAGAGAGCTCATTCAAAACTTCGATTCCTGAGATTCTTAGTTGGTAAATTTGGAATGGGGTTCAAGGATATGCACTTAACCAAGACCCCAGGTGATTCCGATGCAATTGATCTCAAAGACCCTACATCAGACTGTGGGTTAAATACTGTATCAAGTTCTCAAAGCCAGCAAATGGTAGTGCCACGTTAGGGACCCTTAAATGAAAAATAAAATGGCTATTTTTAAAAATGCTGAAACAAACTATTTTATTTATAAAAATAAATGTCAGAGGTTAATACATCAGGTACTTAATTAGAATGAAAAACCTATTGCATAACCGGCATCCTCATATTACTCAACTTAGGAAAATGCTCTATTATTTCTCACATGGAAGTTAAATTAAATTAAAGGTGTCACAGAAAAGTGGCAATCAGGAGAATGAATCTCACATATAACCCGTATTTCAATGTTTCCCTCCAATGTTTCCATGCAATAGCACCATGGAAAGTATATTTACACCAGGAAAATCATGTCTAGGAAGCGACTCCTTAACACGAAAATAATAAACCTCCAGCTCGAACCTCCCACCTGAGTATGTTTCCACAGAGAGCATCTCCTCAGCACTTCAAATGCAACACATCCAGAACCGCACTCAAGAACTCCCCTCGGACTGCCTTCCATTTCTCACATTTCTGTATTGAACGGGCCTCTTGCCACAAATGGGTATTTCTGTATTCCAAAAACCATGACATATTTTAAAAGCTTCCCCAGAGCTGCTCCTCATTCTTCTGTTAACATTGGGGACCCTAATCCTTCAAGGTAACCAGCTGAACTCTTTGCTTTGACTATCCCACCCTTGTCCTGTCACAGCCTATCAGCCCTATGCAATCTTCCTCCTCCACCCCCTGCGTCTCCCCGTCCCACCGCTACCAGCACGCTTTAGCGCTGTGCTTACCACGGTGGCCCAAAATCGTACTGCACGGAATAGGTGCAGTATAATTAAGTTTCCATAAGCATGAGCGTCCCCAGAGAATAAATACCAACACCAAGTATGCCACAACTCCTCTTCTTGTCCGGCTAATTCCCACCTGAGTCCGCCTTCAGATTATTTCAGGTTTCTTTCCCAGAAAGGGTACTTTGAACGTCTCCTGCAATGGTTAGGTGTCCCTATTCGCCCACTCAGCAACTGTCTCCTACATTAACAGAGCAGCCTGTGCTGCCTGTGCTAGCTCAGCTATTACTGCACTTGAATGTCCTCCTGGGTGTAGCTGGAAGCTCCGTGATGGCAGGACGGCCTTATTCGGGCTTAGCATTAGTGCTGGCGCACTGTAAGCACGTTCAATAACACAGTGAAGAATCAACAGGGCCAGGAAAGAGACCATCACAGTCTTGGGAGGCAAAAAATAAAGGTTCGCTTCCGGAGGCTGGATAAAATGAGGGGGGAGGTGGCGAGAAGTTAGAGGCGCGGTGTGTCACAGAAAGAGCACAGGACAGCAGACCCGGGACGCACCTGCAGCTGTTTCCCACGGGCACTCTGACCTTGGGCAAGTCGTTTTATCTTCCCGGGATTTCCCTTTCCTCAAATTTCAAGCAAAGGCTTCTAAGATCCCGCGGGTTACAGAGCGCAGGAAGCGGGAGAAGGATAACTGAACGTGCTGGAGAGGGCAGGGGTTTTGCCGGAAGACCTGCGGGGCCAACAGCGCGGAGATGAGGTACCTGACGGGTCCGTGCGGAGCGCCGAGGAGCACAGTCGCAGCCGCCGCCGCCTCTGGGCCTCCAGGACACAAAGGGAGGCGGGAAAGGGGGCGAAGAGGGAGGATCGCTGTGACTCTTGGAAACATTGCCCAGAAACAAACTGAACCGCGAGCGGGAACAGCGTGCCCACCGCCAAACACGTCCCCCGCCTCTCGCTTCCGTTCTTCAGCCTGACGCGTTCCCGTCCCTCAGCGCTCCGGCGGGCCACAGGGTCGGGTAACTGCGTTCCGGGCTCGCCCTTGGCTCCTCCCTCCCGACGATGCTAGTCGCAGAGGCGGAGTCGACGATGGTGTTGACGGAGGTTCCCTAGGACTGAGGCGGGACCCGGACAGGAGAGCCGGTCCCCCGCCTCTCGCTTCCGTTCTTCAGCCTGACGCGTTCCCGTCCCTCAGCGCTCCGGCGGGCCACAGGGTCGGGTAACTGCGTTCCGGGCTCGCCCTTGGCTCCTCCCTCCCGACGATGCTAGTCGCAGAGGCGGAGTCGACGATGGTGTTGACGGAGGTTCCCTAGGACTGAGGCGGGACCCGGACAGGAGAGGACAGGAGAGCCTAGAGTGGAAGGAGCGATCTACTGTGCAAACACTACAGATGGGGCCACTAAGATGAGGCGGAGAACTGACCCTACTGGGCAGTGTTTAGGGGAGAAGATCCACAGTGTTCATTAAAAGCCTCAAAATGATCCATGGCCACCAAGGAGGTTAAAAAATAAAAATAAAAATAGGGCATGCTGCCCCATAAATTAGTATTTCTTTTCAGTCTCTATTCTTGAGGAAGAGTGAAAAGATGAGATACATTTTTATGTTCCAGAACTGGCTTTAGAGATAAAACGATGCAAGAGAAAGACTTGGTTTTATTCCGTCCCTCAGGAAGGCCGTGAACAGTGGCCCAGAAGTGATGAAGGGTTCTCAAATCTGGAATGCATGAGCATAAACTCTGACAGAAATGCCGGCTCATGGGACCCTCTAGGTTAGAATGCCATACTAGCGGTTGAATGTTGACATAATTTCTCTGCAGTTTCAAATAAGAATCAAGATTGGTACTACATTTTTTGTGATGCTGAAAACTCAGCTCACATTGAGAAGATCTTGCTGTGATGGGCATGCACGCTTAGCGTCATATAGTGAAATGGGTATAGATATGTAACCTTTAACTAACGTAAAGAAAATTTTGTAACTTCTTTGTACTCTATGTATCTTGATGTTAATATGTACTTCTTGGAGGCCCAGACACGCTCCTGCCAGGTGTGACACTGATTTCCATTTAGCTTGTAAAGGAAAAGGTTGTGGTTAAATGCTCCAGCCAGGTGTGACACCACACCGGTTTCCAGTGATGGTTAACACCCTTAAATAGGCTCCGAGAGAAAGGCTCCGGGCTGCAGCAGGGGGGGGCTTCCTACGGAGGCACGTGTTACAGACACTGGCCAGCTTTCAATAAATCCTCGCTTGCCGCTAAGACCTGATTGGAGTCGGTGGTCTTATTCTCGCAATGTTGGTCCATAACATTGTTAAGATCCACTAGTCCAGACAGAACCTTTGTGACAATGCTAAACACAGTACACTAACTTATAGCCTAGATTGTATCTTAACTAAGGTACCCTCTATGTCAAAACTGTTTCATTTTCTAGAGTATCACTATCTGAAATTTTCTCATATATGTATGTGCTTAAACACTTATCCTGTGCTGTGTTCCACAAAGGATTGGACTTTATCTTATTCACTGCTGCGACCCTGGTTCCTAGAACTGTGCCTGTCATATAATAGGTGCTCAAAAATATTTGGTAAATAAATTATTTACAAGTACAAAAGAAAAAATAGGTGCAGACAGTTTAAGTAATTTGCCCAAGTTCATACAACTAGTAAATGGCAGTACTAGACTCAAACTCAGAACCATCTAACTCTGATATTCTTGTCCACTGGAATACCTGAGGGTTTCTGCCTTTGGTCGTGCATAAAAGTCACATGGGGATGGTTGCTCACACATTACTCAGACACTGACTCCATATGTCTGAGTCTGAGAGTCCAATAAGCACCCAAGGTGATTCCAATGTAGGTGATCCTCAGACAAAACTTCCTGAAACACTGCAATGACCCTATGACTTATTTAGCTATTCATAGCTTTGCATATTCTTAGAATAACATAAAGGGAAAGTGAAATAATTGGTGCAGGAACAGAATATTACTTTGGATGAATCTCAAAGGCATTATGTTAAGTGAAAGGAGCCAGACACAATAGACTATGTGATTCTACTTATATGACAATGTAAAGAAGACAAAGCTATAGGAACAGAAATCAGATCAGTGGTTACCAGGGGCTGGGGATGAAAGGAGGTGACTGAGTATGAAGGAGTACAAGGAAACTTTGGGGGTTATTGAAATACTCTATATCTTGGAGGGGGTATGATCTTTCGTGATTATCAAAACTCTCAGACCTGTACACCTGAAAAGTGTAAATTTTACTGTATATAAATGATATCTCAACAAACCTGACTTTAACTAAAAATGTAATCATTAGAGTAATCTTGATCAGCCATAAATCAAACCATAAGAGAACAATACATTTAAAAAAATAAATCTGGCCCCGATGTGGCTCAGTGGTTGAGCATCAACCTATGAACCAGGAGGTCACAGTTTGATTTCAGGGCACATCCCTGGTTGCGGGAATGATCCCCAGTAGGGAACATGCAGGAGGCAGCTGATCGATGATTCTCTCTCATCTTTGATGTTACTCTCACTCTCCCTCTCCCTTCCTCTCTGAAATCAATAAAAGTATTTAAAAATAAATAAATAAAAATAATAAGTTTGTTCTTAGAAAAACCATAACTTATGCAATTGTCCAAAGCATTTGCAACAAAAATGTAGCTTGAAAGTAGATTTCCCCCCCTCCTTTTTCCTAGCATTAATTCACTAGATATTTTCTTCCCAGTGCCCTTTGAAATGTACTTTTTAGGACAATGTGTCTTTGTCAAGAAGCAGCAAATCAAATAAAGTAGGTCCTGATATCTATCAGTGACTTTGTCCTAAATGTCTTATAAAATCCTACACTAACTAATTCGATGAGCCTTCCATGAAAATGAAAAAACAAAATACTATATATTTTACTTGCCAATTGCTGCATAACAGACCACTCTTACTGGCTTAAAACAACATATATTTGTCTGGTTCTGTGGTTGAATGGGCTCAGCTGAGTGGTTCCTGCTTGGGGTTTCTCATGAGGTTGCAGCCAGACAGCAACTAATCTGAACTGGATGCCCAAGATGGTTTTTTCACTCACATAGTTGATGGCTCATCTGGAATGCCTGCAAGAAATAGGTCTCTCTCTCTCAAGGAACACTTGTGCACTGCTGGTGGGAATGCAGACTGGTGCAGCCACTATGGAAGACAGTATGGAGTTTCCTCAAAAAGCTGGAAATGGAACTCCCATTTGACCCTGTGATCCCACTTCTAGGAATATATCCCAAGAAACCAGAAACACCAATCAGAAAGGATATATGCACCCATATGTTCATAGCAGCACAATTCACCATAGCTAAGATCTGGAAACAGCCTAAGTGCCCATCAGTGCGGGGGGGGGGAGAACACATATGTAATACCCTTTGTAATACTTATTATAATATTTTTTTAAAAAGAATAAAAAAAATACTGACATGAAAAAAAAAAAGAAATAGGTCTCTCTCTCTCTCTCTCTCCCTCTCACCCTCCCTCCCTCCAAGTGGCCTCTGAAGGGTAGCATAATACGCTACACCAAAATGTGCCACTTTGATACAAGGATAATTTTCAGCTGCAGGCATTCGAAATGAAGCAAATATTGGGTGGGGCAAAAGCAGGTTTACAATAGTTTGTATGGAAAATAATACAATAATTAATAAATAATAATACAAAAATAAACTGTGTTTTGTGTACTCACAACTGTAAACCTACTTTTGCCCCACCCTGTGTAGACAAGAAAAGCTCTTTCTGGACTCCCACTATATGTCTAAAAGTGGGACCTCAATTTGTAAAGTGGTTCCCCCTTCCTTCTCTACCAAGAAAACAAAAGTAAATCACTGGAGACAACTTGAGAGCCTTATCATCCTAAAGATGGCACTAAATATCTTGGAGGGGGTATGATCTTTCATGATTATAAAAACTCTCAGACCTGTTATATACATAACCAACTTTACTAAGTAGCCCTTATCTTAGTTCCTCCATATATTTTCCTTCCCACAATTTTCTGCCATAGCAATTTAAAATCCTTTACCTTTGTCTTGTCACTTCTCTAAAATTTTATGGTTCTTTTAAGATGCTATATAAGCTCGAGTTTTAACTAGCTCTTTGAGTTACTCATCTCTGAGCACTCCGACAACATCCAAGTAGGAGTGTATAATACTTGTGTTAATACACTTTTATTTATTATTATCTTGTTAATCTGTCTTTTGGCAGGCAAATTGACAGAGTCCCAGTCAATGAACTTTGGATGGGTAGAGGGAGAAGAGATTTTCTTTCTCTTACACTTTTCTTCCTGGCTAGCTTGGGCTTTCTAACAGCATGACACCTTAGGGTGTTTGGATTTCTTAAAAGGAAGCTAGTTTGCCTTAGAGCAAGCATCTATAGGTCCAGGCTAAAGCTGCCAAGGTTTTAATGATCCAGCGTGGAAAGTCACACAGCATCACTTCTGCAATGTTCTACTTATGAAAAATTAGCCACAGGGCCAGCCCATGTCCAAAGGAAGGGGATTATATCTCTCTTCAAATACCAGGAGAAATGGTTCATTGGGTACCATCTTGGAGACTTATACATTGTAGTAAACTTTTAAATATCCATTCACTTTATCTGTCTACACTGCTACTGTTTTTTTAATTTCCAACCATTTTAATGACCTTTAAAAATTTTCATGTTTCAATTTGCATAAAATTTTGCAAAAAACTGTCACATACATTACTTAATTTAATCATCATGATAACCATTGACATAAGCAGGGCAAGGATTTTTAGCTTCAATTTACTAATGAGAAAAATGAGCCTCAGCTAAGTTAGGTGAGTAAATCAATTCACATGACCAGTAAGTGTCAGCCCACAAGTCTCCCAACTCCTAACCAAGGTTGTTTCCCTATTTCTCATGTCTGCTAAATGGCATGTTTGTGTTTCATTGGCATCATTCCAGTCTGAATGTTGAAGTTCCACTGATAACATGCAGGTGCTGGTGTCACCAAAATCATGCTTCTGACATTAGTGTGGTAAGTCAA